TGCCTACAATTAGTAGTGGTAGGTAGGTAGTGTGAGGTGAAATTGAGAGAAGAATATAGCTTTATAAAAAATAAAAATAAAAAAAATCACTATCCCCACCTTTTATAGGGCATGTTCGTGGAGTTTACAGAACAGCCTGTGTTTTGGCCAGATCCATGCACTTCACCATCGTCCGAATAGCTGGCAGACAAAACAAGGTTTAGCGCAGTTTGTTAGCGCATCGGTTTTGGGTACCGATGGTCATAGGTTCGAGTCCTGTCACGATGAGTTCTACCTAAAATTGGATCCGTTTCTTGACACGTGTGCTCCATGCTTGCTCGTGTACGGGTACCATGCCGTCTTTACAAATTAGCACAAGTTCCGCAGGACATTGGTGTGCATATCTTTGAATCCTTCATCTTTGCAACTGCAGAAAAAAAGAAGTGGTTAGAAACCTCACCATTGAACCAGTTTGCCACTCGGACCCCAGTGGACGGCCGCTGATCCTCCAGCACCACGACTGCTTCCAATCGGCCAGTCTCTCTGGAAGCGTACAGCCTCACCATTGGCTCCCCCGTCTTTCGATCAATCTAATATCGCACAGAAGTAAAAAGCAGCAACTCGGGCCTGTTAGTCTTCACAATCAGCAGAATTTCGGCTGCTACAGGAAAAACAGCAGCAGGAACACGCCACCAACAAAAGAAAGCAACTAAGGTGCATGCTCAGACTAACAGGATCATTGACATGCGCAGTAGGAACATTCAATACTGACTACCTACCTCTGGTCTTAGATTTGTTGCTTGCATCAGTGTTCCCAATATCATGCAATAATTAAAAAAAAAAAAAACATATGTTGCATCAGTAGCCATAACAGAATAGGAGGGTTGTGAACAGGAACAAATGGCAAAATCAGGCCAAACAATCAGCCTGAGCAAGCTCAAAGGATGCAAAAGGAGCCAAAGGAAAACACACACACACACACACACACACACACACACACACACACACACACACACACACACACACACACAAGGAGACAATGCATACTTGTGGGGATAACGTGCAATCCAGTGTCACAATGCACTGACATGTGTGCTGAACTGCCATTTGAAAATGGGGATGCCCACCCCAAATTGATGAGCATATTTTTTTATGGAAATAAGGAAATAAAATGCCAGTCCAGATTCATAAACCCCTCCCTCCGCATTGTTTCCCCCTCCATACCGCCGTCTGTACCTTCCTACGGACTTACCTTGCTTCCCTCGCCTCCTTCTCTTAGACCCCTTCTCCCTCGCTGTCCCTTTTCCGTTTCCCAGACATCCCTACCTCACACTCTCCCTCTCCCATCCTTCTGTTGTTCCTATTACTCCCTCCCTTCCTAACCTTTCCTGCAATCCCTCCTTCATCCCACATCTTCCCTCCACCCCGTCTCGTTCCTACACCACTCCTTCCCCTCCCCCTCTCTTCTCCCTCCTCTCTCTCCCTCCATCCCCCTATTTTTACCTTCTTTTTCGATTCTCCCCTCTGGCTCCCTCCTGTCCAACTCTCCCTCCCTCCTCTCCTTCCGTTCCAATAGCCTCCTATCCTCCCTCGCTCTGCTCATTCGCCCACTCTTACATCCAACACATCCATGCTCTCTTCTTCATCTATTCACTTGCCCATCCCTCGAATGGCTCTCTACAGAGCCATTACATATCCTCTCTTTTTTCTTTTTACCATATGTGGGCAGCATCATTTTGCGCCAGCATTTCCCGTAGGCAAACCAAATGCTCGTGTCTGAAGTATTCACCAAGCGCACAACTGAATCCATCGTGCACGACTCGGTTGCAAAACAGCCACCCAAGCAGAGATTCTACACAGAAAAAAAAAAAAANGAGAGAGAGAGAGAGAGAGAGAGAGAGAGAGAGAGAGAGAGAGAGAGAGAGAGAGAGAGAGAGAGAGAGAGAGAGAGAGAGAGCGTGGGGGGGAGCGGGGACAACAGGGGAAAGACAGTGTACATGTTGGTACCATCCAGTCCATGTAGCATCAAATATGTCTGTGTTGCTTATCTGCCACCTGCCAGGTAAGTAGTACAGGCATTGTCGAGCTGCTCGATCTGCCATGTGGCAGATGAGTAAATAAAATCAACTTGCTTGACCCGCCACGTCGCGCATTATTAACTACAACAACCACAATTGCACTGGTGCATCTGCCATGTGGCAGATAAATAGTACACGCATAAGTGACACGAAGAGTGCAGACACATGCACCGTGCAAGCATGCCAAAGACAGTGTGCAGGTAAATATAGAGCACAGACGAGAGGAACCAGGTCATCATATCGATCGGTCTCGTGAAAAGGAACCGCAGAGCAGACATGGCACAGGCATAGAGATTGTGCAGGCATAGCACGGCGTAGACATAGCGCAGACATTGCACAACCATAGCTCAAGGATAGCACATGCAAATAGAAATCACAGAGCCATACGTAGCACATGCAGGCATATAGCCCAGAGCAGACATGGCACAGTCATAGCACAGCGTAGATATTGTGGAGGCATAGCGCAGGCATGACAAAACCATAACTCAAGGATAGCACAGGCAATAGACAAACAGAGCCAACATAGCACAGGCACAGCATGCACATACCGCTGCCATAGCACGCACATAGCACAGACATAACAGATACAGGCATGGCACACACAAACATAGAACAGGCGTAGTGCAGGCATATACATTGCACAGACATAGCACAGGCATACCTCAGGCATACCTCCGGCATACGACAACCACACCACAAGCATAGGACAGGCAAATCGACATTCCACACACAGACATAGCACAGGCAGGAATAAACACACATGGCACAGGCATAGCACAGGCAGGAATAAACACACATGGCACAAGCATAGTACAGGCATAGCACATGCATAGCACAGGCATGGCAGAGGCATGACGCACACACAGTGGAGACGTAATAGAGACAGACATAGCACACTCAGACATGTAACAGACATGACACAGGCATAGACATAGCACAGCCATAGTACAGGCACAGATGTAGCACAAGCACAGCTACAAAGCACTGGCATGGCTCAGGCATACCGCAGGCATAGCACTGGCACAGCACGTGCATGGCACAAGCATAGCAGAGGCGTAGTGAATGCACTAGATATAACAGAAACATACACATGGCATAGGCATAGCCCACTGCCTTCGCTATGGACGGCTTGCGCTCGAGTTTATCTTTTTCGGTAAAAAAATCCATACATTCAAATGGCTCCCCAAAAAAGACACCCCCAATGACATCCATGTGTTTGCATGCCTCTCACAAGAGAGGCTCTGCCCTGCATCCCGGTGCAGCGGGTCGAGTTGTTGTATTTAATTGTTTATAACAGGAGGGGAAGATAATGCGAGGGAGATGATTATGGTACGAGGAGGAGATGACATTGCTTCAGTCTTGTGTATTTCCTTTCTTTCTAGGCTGAACTCCGGGCTGCCCTGCGCCCAGCTCGTCGCCCGGGCGGGGGGCCGGGCCGCCTGGCCGGTCGTTCCGCCCGGTTGGCCACCGGGCGACCCCAGCGCATCCTCGAGGGCGTTGTTTTTTTTTTTTTTTTCGTCGCGGGGAGCCTTCTCCCCCCCAGAGGAGGCCGTGTATGGAAAAGAAGGAAAAAAAAAGGGCCGGTAGGCGCGATTTGAAAGATTTCAAATCGGGGCCCATCTGGGCCGTCGATCTCCAAGATCGACGGCCCAGATGGGCCGCGATTTCAAATCTTTCAATCGGGCCTGCCGGCCCTTTTTTTTTCCCACTCTGCTTCTGGTTTCCCACCTTCCTGGCGGAGGCCTAGGTGGTTGCCTTCATACCCTGCCCAACACCTCACTTCGTCCGAGTGCAGCCTTCGTCGTTGCCGTCGAACCGCACGCCCGCCAACGGAGTCGACGCCCCCCGAACGCCATCGTGCTGCCCGCCAACGGAGTCGATGCGCCCCGAATGCCATCGCGCTGCTCGCCGACGCGCCCCGACGGCCCCCGACACCCCCCGACGCGCGCCACGATGAGTGTGTTAGTACGAGGAAGTGTGTGTGTGTGTGTGTGTGTGTGTGTGTGTGCTGTCTCTTATACACATCTAGATGTGTAAAAAAAAAAAAAAAAAAAAAAAACACCCATACAGTGCAACAGAAGACACTTCTTTACCTTAATTGGCTCGACTTCCCCAACCATTGCAGCAAGACTCTTTTGAGTGGCACTATCTGGTAGGTTGGACATATAAATTGTACTTCCCATAAACCCATCCTCCAAGCCTACACAAGTCAACCCACAAGATTGGACACCATGGAGCCACACTGGTTACTTGCTGCAAAAATCATTCTAAACCTTTTCACCCCCATTGGCCACAACTTCCCTGTTAATACTCAGTCACACACTCAATCCTGCTCCTGCTAACTCTCCCTACACGTGCACAGCACATGCATGTCAAAACAGAGACACAGACTTCAGACAAATGGATTTGAAACAGCTGACCGTTGACACACTTTTCTCCACTGCCCCAACACCTCAGATTGCCGTCAGAAGACAAAGTGATCCTCCGAACTGCTTGCAGCCCGCAATCACACACCGTCAGTGGTACATAAAGTGTTCCCCAGTGAACTCCAATGATCCAGCACCATACCAACGGTTTCAATATCAAACATTGAGGGGCACCTTAGATTGCAGGCAGAGTTTAACATGACAAACTACGACTGTGCAATTAGCATTTGAAGCGGCAGGCTAGGATTGCCGTTTCGATGGACATAAAGGCCCAATATGAGAAGAGGGGGTAAGCCCTTGAGAAACGGCACCCAAGGAGCCACCCTAGCTAGCAAACACAGGCAAAGGCCCAAGTCATGGTAACAGTCGAGGAGGAGGAGGAGGAGGAGGAGGAGGAGGAGGAGCAGGAAATGCAAGGACTCCCAGCAAGGGCTAGACATCGAGTTTCTAATGACAGCATAACAATGTAACTAGGCAACAGACACCAAAGCGTTCGAGACCTGGTCCACACGCACAGGACCGTCACAGGTGATGCTGGCCATAAACGTGGTTCAAATCATTCAAGACCAGCTCGTGTGGATACGACCTTTTACCGGTCTTGGTTCTGTTTGCTAGCACGTTGGAAACAAAGCAATAAGTGGGATGACGTTAAAAGAAAAGACAAGAAAAAGACCAACCTTCGGATCTCACAGGCTGAACCTTCAGAGCAACCCCTTCACATAGCTCTCCCTCTGGGAATCCTGGAATCGACACTCGCGCTTTCCCACTCTCCGACACAGACTAACTTTGCTCTTCGCCCCAAAAAAGAGGGAACCGACCCTCTCTCTCTCTCTCTCTCTCTCTCTCTCTCTCTCTCTCTCTCTCTCTCTCTCTCTCTCTCT